TGTGTCATGGGAATCCGTTTGTGTGACCTCCTGCTGATCACAGAAGATCACAAAGTTAATGCCCTGACAAAAAAATCTCCACGATGGACAATCAGATGGATCAGAGAGGGCTCTCTCATTTTTATCAAGTGGATGGACCCAAGGTAGGTGAGTGTGTGCTCAGCTCAGCACAGTGCTTTTTTGGGGGACACTGTGAAAATGATGTGCAAGGTTGAAGGGTTAAGGTGCCAGTGCCACCAGCTGTAAAGGACTACAACCGCTTTATACAAGGAGTTAACCTGTCAGACCAGCTGATTGGCTCCTATTCTTCATGTAGAAACAGCAGGAAGTGGTACGTGACAGTGCTGCATCGCTTTATAGACATTTCTGTCACAAGGAGCTCTGTGGCAGACTGGAGCAGCAGTCAATGACACACAACGATTTCCAGAAGCAGTTGATCGTTGAGCTCTGTTTGGGCTGTCCCCACAACCAGCCCACTGGACCTACCAACAAGCCCCAGTTGCCATTGTTGAAGTGGTACCTGGTCAAAACAAAGCCACAAAGGGGCACAGGAAGTGAAAGCTGTGTGGGAAGTGCACACCCTTCAAGTATGAGGCATGCAAAGTGGCTTGGTGCGTTATTGTGGACAGGAACTGTCACAGGGCCTATCACACCTCCACCACTGCTACTGAAAAATAATATTTGAATGTTCCTTTCTGTCTAAAATTTACCGTGACACTTAGAAGTTTGACTGCACTATTGTAAATGATCTTTTTAATGCTTTTTATTGTCATGTTGCTAAATTGTGCAAAATATGAATGTATTTATTTTTGTTTTTGCTCCACCAGGGCTACTGAACACTTATATTTCACTGTGCCTTTCTGTATATAGGTTCCTGTGACACTTGAGAATAGCTAATTTTGATGTTGTTTTGTTGTCATGTTGTCAAATTGCGTCCGATATGCATTTTATTGATTTTCATTTTTTGCTACAGTTTGTGAAAATGATTGTATCTCAAAACTGATTTTTTGTAAAGACTCAAAATACATTTTATGTGGTTTGAAAGGACTTTGTGCAGCTTTTTTCATTTAAAATTTTGAGCTATGTCACTTTGATATTTTTGTATCAAGATGCACAGCAATGACCATGTGGCAAAAGAGGGGTTTTGCCACATAGTTTTCATTTTTAAATTGCACGTACTGGGACGTCAGTGGTATGGAAGGAGAGACTGAGGTGCAGGTGCAGACTGAGACCAGGAGAGAAGGCTTCAAGAGGACCAGTGAGAAGCAGTGACCATTTCACAAATCTCTCTGAATCTCTGCTGCTGTGCTGGGGAGGCCCTGCGGCTCCGGCTGTCTTTTTTGTTCCCTCCTTCAAACCTCACCGTCACTGCCCTCTTCCTGCTGCTCCTCGCAAAATTCTTGGGCTCATTGTTGTCACTGCCATCTTCACTACCAAAGATCTCACATTTCTCTGGTTCTCCCCTCATTGCTCTTGCTACTTTAGCTACTTGCCTTACTCCTCTTCCTCCCCCTCTGCTGCAGGGGGGTGTATTGAACAGATGATGGTCCATCTGGAGGTTTCTTCCTCTTAAAACGTTTTTCTTTGCTACTGTTACCAAGTGCCTGCTTATAGGGGTTGTTTGATTGTTGCTTTTTTCTTTACTATTGTAGGATTTTTCCATACAATATAAAACACCTAAAAATGGCTGTCTTGTGTGGCACTATATAAAGAAAATTTAATTTAACTGAAAATTAAATGTATTTTTGGTAAATGGTAAATGGTAAATGGCCTGTATTTATATAGCGCTTTACTAGTCCCTAAGGACCCCAAAGCGCTTTACATATCCAGTTATCCACCCATTCACACACACATTCACACACTGGTGATGGCAGCTACATTGTAGCCACAGCCACCCTGGGGCGCACTGACAGAGGCGAGGCTGCCGGACACTGGCGCCACCGGGCCCTCTGACCACTTATTGTGGTTACTTATTGTTATTCTTAGTAACCTGCTAAATAAATAAATGATTTTAAAAAATGTATTGCTTTCACTTTCACTCTCCCAGTGAGTGGTTCCTCATTGTTTGGCTAGGTGCACTGAAATGAGGAAAATCTGACTGGTAACTGAAATGTTTGGGTTTGTAAAGTGCAATAATCCTTTCTGTCATCGTTGTATTCTTACTCAGTTGTATATAGCATTTGTATTTGTATTCTATTTTTATCTTATTGTATATTTATTTTATTTTATTCTACTGTATATAGTATTTTATTCTATTCTGTACAGTTGTGTACTGTATTTATTCTTATTGTATCCTAATTTTTGCCTCATAACTTTTGCACTGTCCACTTCCTGCTGTGACAAAACAAATTTCCCACGTGTGGGACTAATAAAGGTTATCTTATCTTATCTTATCTTAAAGCACAATTCTAATTGATTCTGACAAAATGATCTTTTTTGAACTTGGGGCAGCTTTCAACATACTGGATGACAAGCACTTCCAGACAGTTCAGCTAAAATGATCAGTTACGGGAGCCTTTGGTTGATGTTGTAGTTTCTCACCATGCATCTGACAAACGCCATGAGGATAGCCGTTATTAGTTCTGAAAGTCAGCATTAAAATTAACTTTGCCGTCTTTATTGAGTTGTATAATTAGAAAAGTAGCTTTGAAAGTAAGGCTCCCCAGTAAATCTAATGTTATTTTTACAGTGAGCTAACAAGCTACAGATACTCAACAATAAGGAAAAATATTATTTATTTTATTTGAATACAATAAAGCAGAAAATTAAACATTTGTAACTTAAGTTGACTGCTTCCAGTATATTGTATTTTTTAAAAACCCATCACCAATTTTTCACATTACATAACCAACAGTCACAAAAACATTTATGTGGCAGAGAGCTGTTTCAAACATTGAGACCTGGCCATTATGTTTTTTTATTATATTGTGAATGCTTTGCCATGGATAACACTTCCACTGAGATACCTCTGACAGGGGGCATAATTATCTTTTCACACTGCTCCTACGGTGTTAAAAATCGTATGAGTTCCTGTTCTGTCAGTATACCAGCTGAATCCCAGATAATACAGAACAGAGTGGTAATCGATAGTAGGAGAACCAGGGCTCTGGGCAAAATACGATGAAGCTGCCCTGGTTTTTCTGCCTGTACTTGCAACAGCCTACATATGCAATGTAGCTAAGTGGGAGATCCTATGTCAAAGATTTGCATAAGATCTGAAAGCAAACACTTGCAAGTTGTCAAGAGTTTTGACTGACAACAGAATGCACAGCAAACACACAAACATGGTTAAACCTGAGACTGCACAGCCTCTTGTGGTTCTTGCACTTCTAAGCTTAAATCCTAATAACATAACGTTCTTGATTGTTAGTCACAGTGAAGCTGCTGCATGTGGTTTTGCTAATTGTCAAAGTCAGACTATTCATTATTGCCAAGACTATAAAGAACTTTGTTATCAGCTTTGAAATTTACTTTTTACATTTACAAACAACTATTACAATGAAGCAAAAAATGATTCTATAACTGATTAATGTCCACATTTTTCATTTACACATAGATATGGAAATCGCAGTTGAGGATCATCAGGCACTAGACACACTGATGCTACCCCACAGGGCAGACAGGTCTGGCCCGGATCTGGTGCCAAGCCGGCATTGCTGGCTGACTTCCTGCATAGTAAGTGGTATGTCATCCAGATATGGGCCAGGCCTGGCGTATGTGCCACTGTTTATGTGATAGCATGCCACATCTAGCCCAATTATGGTTTGGTTTATGTGGCCCAGGCTCATGGAAAACAGGTCTGGCCCAGATCTGGCATCAAGCTGGCACTTGTGACTGACTGGTGTCATGGCAGGGTGTATGCCAACCAGATGTTGGCCAGGTATGGCAATGGCAATTTTAGTTAGAAGACCCAAATACCATGTTGCAATACTATACTGCTGTGGTAGCCAACATTTCAAATGCAGGTTTGACAAGTTTGCGAGTGCACGCTTTATCCAAAACCTAGTGAAAGGTTTACTTATGTTCACCACCAGGTGTCTGTAGCTCAGGAGGTAGAGCTGGTCACCTGCTGAGGGTAAGATTAGTGGTTCGTTCCCTGAACCCTTTAGTCTGCATGTCAAGAGTGTGAATTTGTATGAATGTAGTTAGGAAGCACTCAGTTTAGAGAAAGTGTGTGTGATTGGGTGAATGTGGCATGCTGTATAGAGCACTTTGAGTAATACGGGAGACTAGAAAAGCGCTGTCTGAAAAGAGTTCATCATCTTACTTTTGCACTATTATTATCCGGCACATGTTATTATTACATGGCTTGATTAAGGTACACATTAGGCTGACATCTGGGGCCAAATCCACCATAGGTCCCAAGCACCATACAGGTTTAGTCATTGCGCTGTACTTGTATATCTCTTTCCATCATCATAGCTGTCTTAGTCAACCTGAACACAACCACAGTATGAAGCCCTGTATCCTGTGATATCTGAAAAAATAATATATTTCACAAAAACTGTGAGATGACAAATATATAAAAGTAATAACAGTAGTGTTACAATGTATGTATGTATGTTTAAAAAAACTTACCTTCTGATTTAGTTGATTACTAGTGGTCATGGTACAATTCAGTTGCACTGCTACAGCACCTGAATTAAAGGAACCTAAAATAAAAATAAGATTTACTGAAATTCAGAATATACTGCAAATTAAGTATAAATAAGTATAAATGAAAACAGATTACCATTCGAACAATTATATTTCTTGTTCTTGAGTACATAACTCAGTAAGGCTATAACCATCAAACTTATTGCCAAAGCAGCACACAAAAGAAACACAACTGTGTTGACCACCCGAGAATCACCAAATGACCTAATGTTGTCTGAAAAACAAAAGGATTAAACATGAAAGGTTAATCGCTATGAAAACATTTCCTTAAATGTGCCTCCTGAAAACTAGAAATAATCTGAAGATGAATATATTACATAAAGGTTGTTACCTTCAATATTCAATTTTGCTCCATTACCAAAAATGACATGTCCACATGTTGCCACAGCACAATAGTAGTTTCCAGAATCAGAAGAGCTGATATTGTTCTTTGAGAACTTGTAGACACATTTTCGAGGAGAATGAACATCAGACTGCCTCTCACATGCATCACCACTGCTTCTATAAACGTAAATCACACTGGGATGTGTTTCATTCATTCCTGCTCTGAACCAGTACACATCCTCTGGACATGTATTCTTCTGCAGGTCAGAGAGGACCGAACACTGTAGAGTCACTGAGTCTCCTTGATATATCGGAGCTGATGGCAACTCTTGAATGACAACGGGGATGTCAGGTTCTGGTCCTGGAAAATAAAACAAAGTATGTACAATTCATTTAAAACCACTGCAAGAATTGTTATTTTTCACAGTCATGAATAAAGCTAAACTTATGCCACCAACTGTCCCTCAAACTTATGTATGATTCTTAACAAAAGTATTTTACCACCCATCATGAAAACAAGAAAACAGAAAAATGTGTCAATCAGCCACAAACTTGTTTAAAGGCAAAAGTTATATTGTTATTTATTAGACAAACAGCAAACTGAATTCATGTTGTTATACACTCATTTACGCTGACTTCTGTTCAGGAATGCAAGTAAATAAGATTTGGTATCTTAATAAAATATAGTAAAGTACTTTACTATATTTTCAGCTTTTTTGCTAAACAGTACTTTTAAGAATTCAAGTATAATATTGATATTTTATTATAAACATGCTTCTGCATGCTGGTGCATTTTTCAACAGAGAAACATGAAAAAATCATTTTTCTATTAACTAGTATTAACTAGTAAGTACTGTTAATTAAGGGCAGCTATGGCATTCAATTCAATTCAATTCAATTTTATTTATATAGCGCCAAATCACAACAAAAGTCGCCTCAAGGCGCTTCATAGATGCAGAGAAAAACCCAACAATCATATGACCCCCTTACATAAACCTTACAATGAGAGGTAGTTAATAAATGTGTTAATCAAAGTAAATTCAAAGTTGAGCATCAATAAGGAGAATATTGTGTCATTTACCTTTGACTCTTAGGAAAGTAATATTCCACTTTGTCGTTTTGAGTTCAATCACTTCTTCACAGTAATAGAAGGCAGTGTCATTGAGCTGTGTTTGAATTATATGGAGAACAAATGTTCCTGTTTCCTGCTTTGTTGTAATACGAGGAGTTTTGTTAACAGTGCCCTGATCAAAAGTGTAGGTCGCCCCTAAGACTTCAGGCAGATTTCCAGCAACAACTCGGATCCAAAAAAGTAATCCTGACAAGTTAGACCGGCGACTACACGTCAGAGTCACATCTTCTCCAAGATGAACATTTTTTGTTACAAAGCTTTGGTCATCCATGCATCCTGAAAAATAAAGTCAATCCTTTACATCCAAGTGTTAAAGGTAACACTTACTGAAACACAGAGAAAACTGAACACAGATGCATACTTACGCCCAGCTGTCAGTAAAAGAGCTATGCACAATATGATCAACATTTTCTGGTTCAGACCTCAGTTAAATTTAGATTTCACTGCAAGATGATTAATCTTAATGTAGTTTTATCAAATGGGAGGGGACAATGAGATGGGAGGGGACAATGAGATGGGAGGTAACCATTTTAAAACAATCTGATTGGTCTGTAATAATGTTGGATGTAAAGTTAAATGTTAAGTTAAAATGATCTCATTGTCTCCAATGAACATACATGACACTAGCAGTCATCACAAGAGTCGCAACTAAAATTCTAGAATAGATTTCCTGTTCAGAATTTCCAGCCATGTTATAAAGAGAAAAGCTCCAAGACATCAGCTTTTGCTTAGATGCTCTATTGGGCCAGAAAAAGGCAATTGTGGAAAATTGTATCTAAGATTTTACATTATAATTTATGATATACTTTTTTGAGCATTGATAAATGACGTCTTTGAGAGTAAACACAACATGACCAACACACCAAAACACGAAATATGGTTGACAAAACAGGTTGTGTGACAATCGTATGTCCAGAGTAAAAATAGCATTTTGTGATTGTGCTGCAATACTGTTTCAGTCAAATTCTCCAAACTGCAAAATGCCTAGAGAAAATACTGTTAGTGATATATCAGTGTGATATATCAAAGGACAATGTTGTTCCACTTATTTTGCACTAAACCAAACACGTGAGGATTTATATGAAGTCAGACCTTTCTCTTTCTATATTATTGTCATGTTTTGCTGTGCAGCAGGCAGGATGTGGGACCCAAATGCAGGATTTGGAGACTGAATTATAAACTAAAAGCAGTAGCTTTATTGCTGGGGAAAAACTTTCAAAAGAAATGCAAGAAAGGTAAACTAGAAACGCAAACACAAAACTCAAACTAGGAAACTAGAAAACAAAACCTGAGGGAGCCTGAACATTACCATAAACACAGAGGAAAAACACACCATGGTGACGACACCACAGTGAGCAGGGGAACACTGAGGACTAAAATACACCGGCAGGATAATGAGAGGATGGGGAACAGCTGGGACTACTCAGACGAAACAAGACACGAGAAAAGCAAAACTCAAAACACTGAACACAGGACAGGATCTATCAAAATAAAACAGGAAACACACAACAGGCACAGAGGCACGGACCTGATGCTGAACAAAGGGAACGTGAAGCACAGAGACAGGAGTGACATGAGACATGACTGACTGGGGAACAAGAAAATAAACATAAAGACAAAACTTAACCTACACTAAACACGAGGGGCACGGGAACAAAACCCAAGAACTAGAAATCAAGAAATACTAGAGAACTTAGGGTGCTAGAAATACAAAACAGAAACCCAAAAACACCAACGGTGATAAACAATGGTGAAGTCAAAAACTTATATAATGACACAAAAGACTGGGTCACCGACACAGGACCGTGACAGTTATCATTTAGCAATAAACTGTTTGCATTATTATCCTTTGCTGTATCACACTCTTTGGGATTATCATCAATTAATGTTTACTTCCAGTGATGGATGGAGGAAATTTTTACTGCAGACAAAAACATTTTAAACAGCTTATTTTCTAACCAGACATCGCAGTGGTGGACAAGAAGAGAAAGAAGGCCATAGTGATAGATGTAGTTGTTCCAACCAATATTAGGAAGAAAGATGGTTGAGATATACGAAAAAGGCTGAGAGAGGAGCCAGAGCAAATGTGGAGAGTGAAGGCAACGGTTGTTCCCATGAAGCACCCAAATTAGTGATCTCCAAAGTGGGAGAGTGGCTCCAACAGATCCCAGGAAGGACATCCAAGATCTCTGTCCAGAGAAGTGAAGTCCTAGGTGCATCATATTGTAACTATACATTAATATTCAGAAATTCCCAACAGCCAGACAACCCAGACTTTTTATAGTTTGATGTCTTGTTCACCCCTAAATTTTATGCAGTGTTGTGTCAAAGTCCACATTAGGACATTGGAGGTCTAGCTGTTTGCATTCCATTGGCACCTTGTGTTTTTTTGCCTTTTTTTTTTTTTTTAAATTTGCTGATTTATTTATTTTCAAAATCACTTTTTAACTTTTGTTTTCAGGGCTGGTAAGGTTTAGGAGATTAAAAAGATTTTGTTTTGGGTTAAAACATGGCCCTTCTTCCCAGAACTCCTCTTTGTTGACATATGATAAAAGATAAAAGTGAAGGATCAATTGCAATAATCACATAACGCAGGATACGTTAGATTACAGTCACAACTTAGCAGCTTTAATGCAACACACAGTGCAGCTTTATTGTTTATTAGGTTATGGAACTATTTTTATTGAGCACCGAAGTGCAGAGCAAATATTTATTCAAAGTTTACAATGTCTCTGTCAAAGTGCACAGGTAAGCCTTGTTCACATCTAATAGCAATTTTTCTGGTGTAAGAGTTCCCACGGTACTCACAGTGGCCTGGCCTTCCCCCTTTTAGTTTACAGACAACAATGTCAAAAGGTTTTGTGCTTTTGGTCATCTCACCATATGGCTCTCCTGCACGGTCACAAATGGGTTTCACTAGACCCGTGGTAGCTCTGATAAAGGTGTTGGTCTCCTTACACTCATTGTCGGCAGTTTTAATGCGTCTACTAGCTATCACGCTGGTACACCTGTCAACACTCATCCGCTGAAAAATATGCTGATTTATAAACTTCTGGTAACGCTCAGTGATGTTAGCATTTACACAGAGTACAGTGGCAGAAAGCAGCAGCACAAACTGGGTCCTCATGGCTCCCTGTTGAAGAAAATGTGAAAAAAAATATTTTAGACAATTTGTCGCATCTGAGATGAGAACTGAGTAAAGGCAAACATTTCCTCAATTTAGTTGTAAATTGACTGGATATTGTTCATATTGTTGTTGTTATTTTATTAAAATGCACAGTGATCATATTGAACCATATCAACAAATAAACCTCTTGGAGATTTTAGCAATCATAGACTCTCTAGATATATACTCCCGAGGGAAAAGTACAATTTTAAATAAAGTCATATTTAACTTGTGTGTAATGGCAGAGCATTCTGAAAAAATGAAGAAACAAACCTTCCGAGTTTAAATCAGAAACTTTGTCAGGTCTCTCAGTTCTCCCGTTGTTAAGCTTGTGAAGCTTAAATGGAAAACAATAAAAAATATATGTAAAAATGTTACAATATTAATACCACATTACAGAGAATAACTTACCCGTAGCAAGACCACAGTGACAATGATCGGTGTCAAGTCTGCTCAATCATTTATAGAACTCATTTTGAACTTTGATTTCTTGGCTCAGCAATACATGGGGAGGGAGTTCTAGATAAAATAATTCATTTGGGTAAAGGGACAAGAAGATAACAGTGTACTTTTTTCACTTTTTGGGGTGCTCTACAATTACACCAAGCCCCCTCAGGACTGGTACTTACAATATAAGTTTCTCTTGACTTTAGTCACCAGATAAAAAAGCAGTACTGATCAACTTTTGTTATATATCAGACTATCGTTTTCAAAGAATAAAATAATTGAAAATTAAAGTGTGAATGAAAGAAGAATGAAGGGTGTGTAGTCAGGTACTATTAACCAGTACAGCCAAACACAAGTCATGTTCAGATGTGTATTTTAATTTCAAATGGTTGAGCAAATTTGGTTTCTTATGCAGTTAATACTTAACCTAAAAGAACAAAGCACAAATTGACAACATTTACAATAATTTTAATAAAGCCATTAAAAATCAACATAGCCTGACCACAAAAACATCTGTGGGGAAGAACAAACATACACCTCCTGCTTATATAAAGGTTTGCAATGTTTGGTGTTAAGGGTTATATTAACAGGAAAGAAGGTCGTAGGTACATTAGAACTGATCCAAATATTTGCTGATCATAGTTCAGTTTCAGTTTGAGTAAATGATAAAACGTTTACATTCCCAGTGGACTGTAAACATCCATCCATCCATCGTCATCCGCTTTGTCCGGGGCCGGGTCGCGGGGGCAGCAGCCTAAGCAAAGAGGCCCAGACCTCCCTCTCCCCAGCCACCTCCTCCAGCTTGTCCGGGGGAATACCAAGGCGTTCCCAGGCCAGCCGAGAGATATAATCTCTCCAGCGTGTCCTGGGTCTGCCCCGGGGCCTCCTCCCGGTGGGACATGCCTGGAACACCTCACCCAGGAGGCGCCCAGGGGGCATCCTTGTCAGATGCCCGAACCACCTCAGCTGGCTCCTTTCGATGTGGAGCAGCAGCTGCTCTACTCTGAGCCCCTCCCGGATGGCCGAACTTCTCACCCTATCTCTAAGGGAGAGGCCAGCCACCCTTCGGAGGAAGCTCATTTCTGCCGCTTGTATCCGCGATCTCGTTCTTTCGGTCACTACCCACAGCTCGTGGCCATAGGTGAGGGTAGGGACGTAGATCGACCGGTAAATTGAGAGCTTCGCTTTTACACTCAGCTCCCTCTTCACCACGACGGACCGGTGCAACGTCCGCATTACTGCAGCTGCAGCCCCAATCCGTCTGTCGATCTCCGGCTCCCTTCTCCCATCACTCGCGAACAAGACCCCGAGATACTTGAACTCCTCCACTTGGGGCAGGAACTCATCCCCGACCCGGAGTGGGCACTCCACCCTTTTCCGGCTGAGAACCATGGCCTCGAGATTTGGAGGTGCTGATCCTCATTCCCGCTGCTTCACACTCGGCTGCGAACCGTTCCAGTGCGAGCTGGAGGCCTCACCCGATGAAGCCAACAGAACCACATCATCCGCAAAAATCAGAGATGAGATTCTGAGGCCACCAAAGCGAAAGCCCTCCGCCACTTGGCTGCGCCTAGAAATCCTGTCCATAAAAATTATGAACAGAACCGGAGACAAAGGGCAGCCCTGGCGGAGCCCATCACCCACCGGGAAACATTTCTGACCTAAATCAAGAATAACAGCTTACACAGAACTGTATTTTATATGTTTATACTGTACTTTATATTCAGTATTTCTGACAACAAATGTTCTCCACTTCTTTTTAGTACATTTTCCACACGTTTATCTATTTACAGTGGTTCGTTCAAATTTGTTTAAGTACAGGTTGTGAATGAAGGGAAGAAGAAAAAATACCCCCAAGAAGCAGGTTATGAGCACAATAATAACAACATCTTGGTGCTATTTATTTATGTTTACATTGAATTCCATGCTCCACTTCTTTATAGATTCAGATTCAAGCTTTAGGTCCCCTAACACAGCGGTCCCCAACCTTTTTTGCGCCACGGACCGGTTTATGCCCGACAATATTTTCACGGACCGGCCTTTAAGGTGTCGCGGATAAATACAACAAAATAAAACTAGTACCGGTACCGAAAAAAAGAAGATTTATTCATAACACACGTGAAAAGACCCAGGAAAACCGAGTTAACGATAAAAACGATAACAAAATAACGCTGAAAACCGATAAAAACCCTGAAAACCATACATTTCACACCTGAGCCTCAACTCTCGCGGCCCGGTACCAAACGACTCACGGACCGATACCGGTCCGAGGCCCGGGGGTTGGGGACCGCTGCCCTAAGACACAGGAAGTAAGTTTATGCTAATTCAAAAATGTATACAGTAAGAACAAATGTATCACTATTGTGTAACATGATCGTGTTAGCATGCTGACTGAGTTTCACAGATCTAGTCAGTACATAATGGAGCACTCAGTGCCCACAAATGCACACACACACAAAAGTTATGTGCAAATAACTAAAACAATCTATAAAGAGTAGGTCTCTTTAAAAGTATACATAATCATGGCTGCTTTCTTCAAGGTGTTTTTGAACTAAGGAAACAGTATTTGTCATTGCCCAGACTATGACAACACACACACACACACACACACACACACACACACACACACACACACACACACACACACACACACACACACACACACTCACACACACACACACACACTCACACACACACACACCACACACACACACACTACACACCTCTACACACACACTCCCTCACACTACACTCACCACACTACACACACACACACACTGCTAAAGCTCTCACACAGGTCTCTACTTGTGTCCTGTGTGAATTCCCCTCCCTCTCTCGAGACATAACACCCTCTGAAGATGAGCAACACATCAACCGAGACTCATTTTGACTGCATGAAAATAAGGTTTTAAGAATGATGAAAAAATTAACAGTTGTCTATATTATTTTTTATTTCCTTCACCTTATTCGCTCAGTTTGCTGATGTTGTTATTTTTACAGCAAACAATATCCATGATATGTGGAACCCTCAGCTTTGACTTTAGTGCCACTATTGATCTCATTGTTTATTCATTCTAAACCAAATTGGGGTTTTTTTTTTTGCTATTATATAACTACTTTGATGTCATGCTTATTAAAAATGTAAATAATGGTTGAAATGGATATCCTATCATTCCACTTTTTGCACAAATGCATTCCACATGTCTGATGATGCTGCTACCACCAGAGGGCACTCTAATACTTTTTATATCACATATTAACCCAAAGAGAACAAACAAGGTGTTTAAACTGTTTTCATTCATTTTACAGTCATTTTTCACCACCTCTACTCTTTAACTGACATTACTCTTAAAATATGAGGTCACAAATGTTTGATTGTTAACTTAAGACACAATAGCAACCACAGCACTGCAGCTGCATGTGACTTCATTATTTCCAAGTTACTGTCCAAATCAAGACATGCATAACATTCAAACTAGTTTGCTCTTAACATTTTTAAGCAATTAATTTCTATCCTCATTATACATGTTTGTATTTGCAAAGATCACCAAAAAGTGACAGTAAAATCGGTATGTGGCTATGTTAGCAGCAAGTATCACAGAATGACTTCAAATCCATTTGATACAGAGGCAAAAAATAGACCATGCTAGAATGATTTGTTTGATGGATTTGTGAGACTCTGGAGTTTCTTTAAGACCACTGAGAGTTAGCTTCATGAATCACAATTCGTAACCACCTGACCCACAATCTCAACTAGAGAACATAAAGTACATCATCGTCTTTGCGCTTTTGAACCTTGAGCATTCTCTGGTACAGGTCACAGTAGTTCTGAGTAATTACACTCAGTGTTTGCTCGGAAGCTGAGGAATGGTCAACCACAACTTAGTTTACTAGGTTAGCTGCACACTCTTTCTGTTTCCTACACTGTTGTGCACTTTTACACAGTGCTTTGAGGCTACTCTTTTCTGAAGAATAGAAACAGATCGCTGTTGCTTTATTACAAAAACAGATTGATGCTGACAGTATATGGATAGACAATATTATGGCTTACATGTTTAAAATCCCTGAGCTTTTAATGATAACACAGATTCATTTTCTAATCATTAATATAATTTGTCTTAATAATGAATTGGTTATGTAATAGCGTGTTTAATACATTGTTTAGATTTTCTTTCTATGAGATTTTATAAACCAAATATAAGCTCTGTAGGAGGTTATTTAAAAAGTCGGTTTTTGCACATATAAGCTGGTCATTTATTTCTAACATGGATCAGTGTCTGTTTCATAGCACCTAGGATAGATTTCTTCATATTTTATTTACATTTGATGTATGGGTTTCTTGGATTTCATGGTGTCACTGATGGTAAGGATGACGAATTATTTCCTGTGCAGGTCTTTTTCCTGAATTGATTACCGTTAATAATGGTTTAGGTACAGTCGCCATTGTGCTCAGAGGAAGTGCCTTGCTGATGTTGGTAATCCAAGCATCACCTAGACCACCAGGAAGTCAGAATTTTGCTTTGACGTCTTAATGTAAACACTCCACCCTATAATCAAGACTTTTACTCTTAAATCGTGTCCTATGTTCAGTTATACATAGGACACGATTTAGGCTCAGAGGACAGTTATGCAGATGAGACGATGAGACAGGAAAGAAGAGAGAGAAAGAAACAGAGGCTGACGATATGGACATATTCTTATGTAGCACTTTTCTACTGGAGCACTCCAAGAGCTTTATTAAACATGCATCTTTCAACCATTCATTGAAGGACTTTTTTCTATGCTTAAGCACTTTCTATCTAACGGGGGACCTCAGGTTGCATTTTGCCTTGTTGCACATGGTTACCTGCTTAACCTCTAAGCTAAACATGTGACCCTAAATCTAAATCTGAAAATTAACCAAGACTAGAGGCTAGCGCTAACACAGACATGTAGCAAAAACACGTTGAAGCGAAGTGTTCACCAACAGCAAGGTGCACGCATGCAGTGAAAGCTGAAAGACAAAAACACAAGCTCAAAAAC